TTTCTCTGACATAATGTTAGAAAAATAAGAATTATTACTTTTATCATAAACATAATCCGAACTCACTACAACTTGTATGTCATGTACGTCAATCAATAATTTGGAAGAAAAGAAATAGTAACATTGTGTTGCGTGTATTAATATAGTCAAAATCATTGGGTAAACAATGAAGCCCAAAAATAGTGGAGCCAAAATACAATTTTCTATAATGTTAGATACTTATTATATAATTTTTTTAATATCTCATTCTATGTAAATTATTTGATGTATGGAGTTTTTAATCTGGCACACTATAAAGAATCTTCTAGTTTAAAACATAACTTGTTCTTGTAAATCTCAGCATAATTGACTATTAATTTTGGAGTTTCTTTAGGGGATAGAATAAAATTATTAGTTTTTTTCTTTTTTTGTAAAAATTGATAACAGGGATGTCAAAACATTATTTCTCTCTTATGAAATCTTGAAATTAACAAAGGGTATTTAAAATTAGTTTCTTATATTATAGTAAGTTACATAGAAGAATAAATTTAGTGAATAGAAGATTTTTTTTCCATTGTGATTAATTAAATATAACATATTTTATCTCTTTAAAGAAGCCAGTGTAGTATTGGGTGTTTTACCCTGCACCTCCAACACTTGACCTACACCTCTCACTTTTCTAAAATTTTTTTTTTAACGTTAATAAATATTTCTTCTATTTTTTCTCTTTCTATTTAAAGTAATCCTACACTTTTTTAACTCTCCACCCTTTTAACAAATTTTTTAAAACTTTGTCTTTTATTTATAATTTAATAACTATTTAATTTAATTTAAAAATATAATATTATTTAATATTTTTTCATATTTTAATAATTATTAAAATATAATTTGTATTATTATAATAATTATATTACAAAAATTAAAATTAAAATAATTAAAATAAAAGTAATAAAAATAAAAATAGAAAAACAAAATAATAATATAAAATCTGATTTAATATATATAAATATATTAAATTTTATTGAATTATTAAATTAAATTATTATTAATTTTAAATAGAAAATAAAATTTTAAAAAAAGTCATCGGATGGTATCCGATATCGGATTTCCAATTCCCGAAACGAAAGTCTTAAAAAATTGTTTTTTATTTATAAATTATTAATTATTTAATTTAATTTAAAAATTTGATATTATTTAATATATTTTATATTTAAATAACTATTCAAATATAATTTATATTATTATAAAAGTAATATTAAAAAATAAAAATGAAAATAATAATAATTAAGAAGTCTAAAAATTTTTAAATCTTATTTATCAATTTAATATTTTAATATATTTATATATATTAAATCAGATTTTATATTATTACTTTTATTTTAATTATTTTACTTTTAATTTTTTTAATATAACTATTATAATAATACAAATTATATTTTAGTAATTATTAAAATATAAAAATATATTAAATAATATTAGATTTTTAAATTAAATTAAATAAAATATTTATTAAATTATAAATAAGAAACAGTTTTAAAAATTTTGTTAAAAGGGTGCATAGTTAAAAGAGTGAAGGGTGCATAGATTTTTATGTTGAAAAATTGTATACAAATTATGTTGCGTGTATTGGGCTTTAGGCCCAATAATAAATGGACTAACATTAATATTTTTATTTTCACTCGGTTAATTATAAGAGTGTTTCATCCTACACCTCCAATATCTCATCTTATACCTCCAAAAATTTCATTTTTAACCTTCTGACATCCTGCACCTCCAACTTTTTCAAAAATTTCATTTTTAATTTTCTTCTTTTTTTTATTCTTATTAAAAACATTTTAATAAATATCTTTTTATTTTCTTCTCTTTCTTATTAAAGACACTCTACACCACCTTAATAATAATAATTCTAATTTAATTTAAAATTTAAATATTATTTAATATAATTTTATATTTTAATAATTATTAAAATATGATTTATATTATAATAATAGTTATATTAAAAAAATAAAAATAAAATAATTAAAATAATAATAATAATATAAAATTTGACTTAATATATTCAAATATATTAAATTATATTAAAACATAAATTAAACAATTATTAAATTGTAATAAAAACAAAAATTTTCAAAAACTTGTTATCGAAAATCAATTTTTTTTATTTAAAATTTAATCAATATTTAATTTAATTAAAAATTAAAGCATTATTTATTATATTTTTATGTTTTAATCATTATTAAAATATGATTTATATTTTTATAATAGTTTTATTAAAAAATAAAAATAATAATAACTAAAATAAGAGTAAAAATAATGAAAATAAAAATAATATTAAAAATCACATTTAATACATTTAAATATATTAAATTATATTAAAATATTAAATTAAATTAAATAATTATTAGAACTTAAATAAAAATCAAAATTTTAGAAAAATTTATTTATCGGATATTATAAATTTATTGGATCTCAAAACGTTTCTAAAATTTTGTTTTTTATTTAAATTTTAATAATTTTTTAATTTAATTTAATATTTTTATATAATTTAATATATTTAAATTTATTAAATGTGATTTTTAATATTATTTTTATTTTCATTATTTTTACTCTTATTTTATTTATTATTATTTTTATTTTTTAATAAAACTATTATAAAAATATAAATCATATTTTAATAATTATTAAAATATAAAAATGTAATAAATAATGCTATAATTTTAATTAAATTAAATATTGATTAAATTGTAAATAAAAAATAAAATAATTTTCGTTAACAAGTTTTTGAAAATTTTTGTTTTTATTTACAATTTAATAATTGTTTAATTTATTTTAATATTTTAATATAATTTAATATATTAAATCAAATTTTATATTATTATTTTTATTATTTTATTTTTTACTTTTTTAATATAGTTATTATTATAATATAAAACATATTTTAATAATTATTAAAATATAAAATTATATTAAATAATATTTATATTTTAAATTAAATTAGAATTATTATTAAGGTGGTGTAGAGTGTCGAAGAAAATGAAAAGATATTTATTAAAATATTTTTAATAAGAAAGAATAAAAAGTTAAAAATAAAATTTTAAAAAAAATTGGAAGTATTGAGTGTCAGAAAGTTAAAAATTTTGGAGATAAGATATTAGAGGTACAGGAATAATAACTCTAAGTATAAATACGAGAATCTCGTGCAAGAAGAGGGGTGAGGAAGAGTGACATTTTGAAATTTAATTTTTATTTAACATATTTAATATAGAAAGCTTCTTGATTAAACTTTACAAAAATTATTAGTCTACATATAACTTTTTATTGCAAAAAAAAGCGAAACCAAAGCAGAGATCAAAGAAGTCACGCCTCAAGTGAAAGTGGAAATTACACAGCATCCACACTATAACCATCTTTAAGAAGAAAGAATCTCAACCGTCCCTCCCTTACCCTTAAAAAAGATGCTGGATTCTCCTCCTAGGACGAGTTCCACTAGGTTATTGGACGGGTCCCACACTCGCCATAAAGGGTCCACGTGTCCCTTCGACACCCAACCAGCACAAGCTGTAACCGTAGGAAAAAGAAAAGTAAGATTTTTCTAGACGATCTTTTTCTCTCACTCGACACGTGTCCCACCACTATTCGTGATTGACATTGTTCATGTTTTCTTTCCTCCTCTCGTAAAGTGTCACCTCTTCTCTTCAACTTCAAAAACTTTTCCTATTTTCACCTTCTTTTATTTTCCCTACTTAACTACGTTCTCTACAGATCCAACCACTTCCTCTGCCACCAATTACTTCTTCTTGTCTGTTTTTGTTTCACTTTTGCTCCCAAACCAACTCTCTGTTAGATCTCTCCCTGTGTTCTCTATGCCATTCCCCTCAGGTTTGACTCATTTCAAGTTTGCACTTTTTTTTTCGGTTTCTTTCTCCTTTTCTTTTCAAGTTTCCCTTAATGGGTACCTGGATCTGATTTTTAATTATGTCTTGGAGTCATTGGTTTTGAAGAAAGTTTATGTTTTCAATTCTGGGTTGAGTAGATCTTACGGTGTTGTTATGTACGGTTGCATGGTTTTTACTTCAAATGTGTTTAGTGTTTCTCACAAATTGGGTGGATCTGATCATGTCAGGGTAATACACTCGTTTACATACATATATATACGTACACACACATACATATGTGTGTGTGTTTTTGAATTCTATTTGACTACAAATCGAATTTGAGTTGGAGGAAATGGGTTCTTCTGCTCTTCTCTTTCAGAATAATCAAATAATTCACTTCCTGAAGTTTAAGCTGTTTTCTATGTGTTTGTTTTGAATAATTTGTTGGTTAAGTCTTATGCAGATTACAATTTTCGAAGTAAAAATGTTTAGTATGTCTTTCCGCATTACTCTTCACCCTTCATCAATTTTCATTCTTCAACATGTCTCTAACAAATACAGTCTGTGCTTTTTCTTATCAGCAAATATAGGCTGTACTTGACTCGAGAATATATTGATTTACTGTTTGTGTTTAATTATCGTGATTAAATCGTGCTACTGTGTTCTTTTCTTCTATTCTAGTATATATTTTCTTTTGCATTATTATTTGTTAAAAGAATAGAAAGCGACCACATCTGTGGTTTTTAATGAAACATGTTTTACATGACTAAAACTTGGAACCTAGTTGTAGTCTCTTTAACTCTGACCATGCCCGGATTGGTTTGGTTTTCTTGTAAGTTTTTGCTGTAAATTACAATGGCTCTTTATCTTTTTGTGACGATTTAGCTGTGTTTTTTGTTTTTACTGCAGCTGGGACGGGTGTTCCGGAATCAGATTGTAACTGTGGGGTGATAATTTATTCCTAAGTTGCGAGGTTTTTGAGGATGGGTAAGTGCAAGGGTTGTGGGAAGGTAGGAAGAATGGGACCAAGAAATGGGTCTACGAGTGCTTATGAATTTTCTCTGATGTTGTCTCCTGATGTTTCTTTCTGGGATTGTATATTCCGCAAAATGAGGTACTCCTACAGACCTGAGTGGGTGTAGTGGTTTGAAGTTACCAGTCTTGATACTTCAACTGAATAAAGTATTCTAGCAGTTTAGGGGAAGAGGGGGAACATTGTATGCAGAAAATGCATAAAACTCTGAAGAGACTCTCTTGAAGGATAGGAGTTGACCAAAGTTATTTTGAGTATTTATAAATATGATGAGTTCTATGGATAACATGGGATTTAATAAAGGGCAACATGTGGGAAAGGCGAAAAAGAAGGCAGTGAAAGATGGGTTGGATCGTCTTAAACAGGCTGAAAAGAAAAAGAGGCGGTTGGAAAAAGCTCTAGCTACTTCTGCTGCCATCATTTCTGAACTGGAGAAAAAGAAGCAGAAGAAGAAAGAGGAGCAACAGAGACTTGATGAAGAGGGCGCTGCAATTGCTGAAGCGGTGGCTTTGCAAGTTTTACTTGGAGAAGATTCAGATGATACCTGTAAGGTTGCTATAAACGAGAGTGGATGCAAGACTTTGAATTATAATCACGAACTTGAGCTCTTCATGGGTGGACCAAGAGCTTGTTTTGCTGATGTAGATGGTGGTGGCACATGGTCTGTTTCTTCTGAAAATGGCAAGTGGTCTTTCACATGCAGGCCTCTTGAGAAGAATGTGTATGAACCTCTGCATGAAGAAGTGGGATGGGGTTCTACTGGATTCTCTGTTGATTATATAGCAGCACAAGCTGTTAGATCACTCCAGATTGCAGAGGATGCAAATGAAGCAAGAATTCTCTTCTAATGGAAATGCTAAAATCGCATTATTTCTGTCATTGTTGGTGCCGGGTGAAGTTTTAAACTTCTGTTACTTTCTGGAGGTTGTCTTTTGTACATCATCGTACCATATGTGCTTGTCAGCCACATTCTGCTTCAGCTGTGTGACTGAACTTGTTGCTCTTCTGTCACTGTATTTTCTTATGATTTTAGTTAACTGCGTGCATAGCTGCTAATTTTCCATTAGGATTGACTTCCATAGTCTTGTCTTGCAGATTTATATAATTTTTTTTTTAATTTACTACAAATAATATAAATGCTCCAGTTGACTCGTATTTTCATACACACACACATATATATAAAAGACAGAAGTCAAGAGAGAAATGTTATTTAATTGCAGTATTTTACATATTTTATACTCTCTTCACTGTATAATGATTTCAATTTTGTTTTACAGATAAATTAATAACACCAAATATATTATTCTTTAAACGAATTTACAATAATTACATTATTCAGTACATACATTATTTATTTTTATGGAGATAAAGAGAATATTTAATTTAGAGATATAGGAATTTAAATAGTAATGCTTGATTGAAAAGTGACAACATCAAACATCTTGATATAGTTATTTTAAGATTAAAAAATCAACATGTGAAGATATAGGAATTTCTAGCATATATTTCTCACTCCAATAACATGTTGGAAATGTAATTAATATAATCAAATATTCATTAGTTATCCTAACAAATTACTTTAAAAAAATTCAGTAACTGTAAAATAAATGTACTACTATTAATTAGAATTAGAGAACTTAAGATTACTCGAAAAAGAATTGAAAATCTGAAATGATTTCCATCTGGTTTTAAAATTGAACACAGCTTTTTGTTTGCTGTATCCAATGAAACTCATGCACAAAGGGAAATAACTCATTCACGTGTGGCAAAAGAGTGATGGCCAGCTTTGCCTGAGCTTTAGAATATATTCAGAAACAAATACCATCATAAACTTTAGAAAAAGATGAAAAGAAATGTGGAATATTTGCATGTGAAATGTAACTGCATTTTCGATATATTTCAGTTCTAAATGTTCTGGTTTAAAAAACCATGTATGTACCTTTTACAGAAAATTCACTTTTTTGAGTTACTTCGACTACCACTCTTGATTTTGTTCGAAGAGGTCAGTGATTAAGCTATCTGAATCACTCTTGAAAGAATCAAGTAACATGTTATGCATTTAGAATGTTATTATGCAGAGTTCTGCTGGTGATTAGTACTTCCATGTATTTTTTTTATCAGGGGATTGAGCAGATTGTATTTACTTTCTACTTGATTAACTAAGCTGATTAGTGAACTCATCATGATGCGTTCGATGCAAAGAGGATGACGGGTCAGAATTCTTCAGTACACAATTTTCTTAAGCGCATTCCATTTGAGTGTGAACGTGTGGTGTTCAATGGAAAGAAAATAAAGAGGAAACAAGTTGATTAACGTCTGCTAGGATCAAACTCAATTTCATCTCACAAAAATATCCACACTCATTTGTGTCCTTTTTTGTAGTTGTTATTACCAGTGATTTGTTTAGTAGGTAACAAAGTAGGCTCTATTGATAATTCTAAAGGGCATTCACAAACACATTTTAACAAAAATGCTAATATCTGTAAACAGGGGCTTATCTAAAGCATCAAGTTCATAAACAATGAATACCTGTTACGTAAGACCTATAGATTGAAATATTATCAGGTAGAGATTTGAGCCATGTAAATTCAACCTACCTTCTACATTCCATTTTGTCTAGTTGAAGTTTTAAAACAAAACTATTACATGTCTTTGTTTCACGTTACAGTTTCTCTTATAGACTGAGGATTGGAATTGAAGTTAGAACATTCAACTGAAATTCCAGATATATCATACAAAGGGGCCACCAACCTATAGCTCATCACAAATTTGACTGATTCAGTTCTAGAACAAAGACAGAATTGCTGTATAAAATTAATGAATAAATTATACTACAAAAATTTTAACCAATCTCCAAATATCAGACAAGAAGATATTCCAACATCTGTAAGAAAGTATCAATGAACTAGTGCTATATAAGGAGCCTTCCATGAATAAATCATGCTAATCATGGTTTCGGTGCAATTTCTTTCAAAAGAAAACTTGACAGAAAAAAAAAAGTATTCAACCTTAGGGTACTGCTATAATACCTCTTGCTTATATTTGCACCATACAGCTATCTACCTTCATTGTTCATTAGCTGGGAAAACACTTGGCTAGTACTAACATCAGAAGAAAAATTATCATAATCCCTCTCTGCTCTTGTGTTGGTAGAAGGATTTCCAGGAATAACTGTACTGGTCAAACTTGCAGCTTCACTAGCACTGCTGTTGGCATGTGGCTCCCTTTGTTGTTCACTTTCTTGGAGCTGAAGTGCATACTCCAAATTCCATAAGACATCACCCATAGCTGGTCTATCAACTCCATACTCAGACAAACATTTCTCTGCAGTTTCACAAAATTTTTTTAAGGAGTCTTGTTGGATTTGTCCAACAAGATGGGGGTCAACAATTTTGTCCAGCATGCCTTTCTTCAGCCACTCAAGTGCCCATTCTGCCAAATTGACCTGTTCTCTAGCTAATTGTGGATCAACAGCAGGTCTGCCACAAAGAACCTCAAAAAGCACTACACCAAATGAATAAACATCTGACTTATCCGTAAGCTGCTGTCTCCGGTAATACTCAGGATCAAGATAACCAAAACTACCTTTCACATTAGTACTCACATGTGTTTCATCGATGCACGGTCCTGACCTTGAAAGACCAAAGTCAGCAACCTTGGCCACATAGTCTTCATCAAGCAATATGTTGGTTGATTTAATGTCACGGTGGATGATTCCTTGAGCAAAGCCAGTGTGAAGATAGTGAAGACCTCTGGCTGCACCAATGCATATTTCAAGACGCTGCTTCCAAGAGAGAGGTGTTTGTCGTGATGAGCCATATAAATGCTTCTTCAGCGGACCCTTTTCAACATACTCATAGACAAGTATCATTTCTGAATTTTCTTCACAGAAACCAACCAGTGAAACAAGGTGGCGATGGCGAATTTTGGACAAAACAGTTATCTCAGTTTGGAACTCGGGAAGGCCTTGTCTGGACCCTGGCATGCCTCTCTTGACAGCAACCTTCGTATTGTCTCTGAACACTCCTTTGTAGACCATACCAAACCCACCAGACCCTATAATTAAATTTCTATCGAAGTTGTTTGTTGCTGATTTTATTTCAGCAAAAGGGATCTTCAAGCCAAGAAGTCCATGTGAACCAGGCTCGGAGCTTCTACTGAGGGAACTCCCTCCAAACATGCTTAAAGGTGTCCATCCAACACTTTCCAATGTCCTTGGTTTTGGTTTCTTGTTCCTGCATTTGGTACCAAGTAGAAAAGCAGTTACAACTAAAAAAAAGACAACAATTCCTCCAACAACTGAACCCACCAACACCCACAAATTCTTCTTCCTATGCACAACTTTAGTACTGACATCATTGAGCATCTCCATTATCTCTGCACCATTCAATATGGCATTCATCCTTATGGAACTGCTTAGCTCAGAAGGACCAACACTCACTTGAACAAAACCCGAGTCATCTGAATTTGTAACAAAATCCACATAGACAGGTGATGCAAGCGTGTGGATGGTAAGCGCTGACAAATCAAGATCCTTGTATGCAATGTACCCATTGATGTACACATCAAAGTAGAGCAAGTTGAGAGCAGGACTAACAATATCGCAGAAATGCAATCGAACCAAGTGTGGAACACCACCAGGAGACACAGGAAAGTTCCAGGTTATGTTGAACCTAGAAGCCAAACTTGAGTTTTCCCTATTCATCTGCTGAGCAGTCATGTAAACATTTTCAGGTGCAATCTCTCTAGTTGCACCTCCCTTCTGGTAATTTGGTATGTGAGTGCTCACTGCAGGCTTTGCTGCACCCTTAAACACCAAATAATCCTCATCAGGAATCCAAGTCCTCCAAAGGGTGTCATTGAAAGGAGTTATTTTCAAACCCCCAACATTGATCCTATGAACAGTTTCCAAAACCTTAGATGAAAGGTTTCGGTACTCTTCCACCCCAGAAGGACCAACCGCCCTGCCTCCAAAATCTATGACAAAATCCGCAGGGGCAGTAAACACCTCCAAAGCATTGACAAAGGCAAAACCTGAGTCACCAACAGGCCTAAACAAAATCTCAAGAAAGTTTGACTCTATGTTTAGAATGAACTCTTTGAGAAGCACATCATTAGGTGGCTGGAAATTGCTCAGCACCGAAGCCCCATTAACAAAGACACTAAAGTTTGCCGATTTTAGATCAAAACTTTGAGCCTTGAAGGGGGAGAAATGAAAACGAACAAAGTGGGTGCCGTTTTTCTTCATATTGAACCTGTAGCTCCCACTGCTGCTGAAAACTCTTGCTGTATGGTACAAAGCGGGCAAATTCTGAGGTGGCTTTTGATATGCGAGTGAAACAGAATCACCTGAAGAGAGAAAATTGGAACCTGGGTTGGTGGAATCGCCCGTGAAGACTCTGTTGAAGAGGGAAGCATTGTTGTGTGATCCACAACTGAGAAGGAAGTTATCTGTGGGAGAGAATGAAAGTGAGAAGGGTGTGAGAAGGAGAAGGAGAAGGATAGAGGGTATGAGGAATACGGTGTTCATTGAAGAAAGTTTTGATTTTGGCCTTTCGATTCCTTCAAGAGTGTGTCACGCGGAGGAAAACACATGCCATGAGTAGTATCTAGTTTGAGGATGCAAAAGGGAAGTGTGATGTGTGGACAGAACTGCAACAAGAAGACAACAGACACAGAGAGAGACAGCGACTTAAGTCCCAGCGAAGATTTGAGAAGGAAGATATGATATATAGTACATGAATTTGGTAAGCACAAGTCAAAGGATAACACCTACTCTTGCATTTGCTTTTTATGGTTAGTTGATTTGAAACTCAACATTTTTGGACGTTTCTCACAAATCTGCATTAGTTTTCTCGGCGCTCCACTTCATATAACGGTTGATTTTAACGAATTACAATGTTAGTCGCATGCAGATCTAAAATACTGATACAGGTTGTTTCATCTAAACTTCTGGGCACAAATTCGAATATTGATGTGGGAACAGAATTACCTGTAGTGAACATAGCTGTGACATCGTAGCGCAAAAGAAAAATTT